TTGGCCACACTAATGGATGTGAGGGGCTATGTCATTGCTTTAATTTGCATTTTTATAGTCACTAATAATGTGGAACATCTTTTGTGTGATTACTGGCCATGTGTATGGAATCTTTGGAGAAATGTCTATTCAAATCATTTGCCCACTTTAAATTGGGTTATGTCCTTTTATTGTTGAGTTATAAGTGTTCTTTATATATTCTAGATGCAAATTCCTTATAAGATATATGATTTGCAAATATTTTCTTCCATTCTGTGGTTGTTTTTTTCACTTTGTTGATGGTATCCTTGGAAGCACAAAAGTTTTTAAACTCCGATTTCATCCGATTAAATTTTTTTTTTTACTATCTTGCCTATTTTTTCTTTAGTCCCTTGTGCTTTTGATGTCCTAAGAAGGCTTTGTCTAACCCAAGGTCATGAAGGTTTATTCTTATGTTTTCCTCTAAGAGTTTTATAGTTTTAGCGCTTACATTTGGTCCTATGATCCACTTTAAGTTCATTTTTGTGTATGGTGTCCAATTTCACTCTTTTGTGTGTGGATTTCTAGTGTCTCAGCACCATTTTTTTTAAGATTTTATTTATTTATTTGAGAGAGAGAGAATGAGAGATAGAGAGCATGAGAGGGAAGAGGGTCAGAGGGAGAAGCAGACTCCCTGCCGAGCAGGGAGCCCGATGCGGGACTCGATCCCGGGACTCCAGGATCATGACCTGAGCCGAAGGCAGTCGCTTAACCAACTGAGCCACCCAGGCGCCCTCAGCACCATTTTTGATACTCACTGAGTTTTTATGAGTATCAAAATTAACATATATAAAGCACTTAGACGTGCATGGGTATGCATAGCAGCACTGAGTAAATATTAGTTAGTATTTTATCATTTATTGAATGGAATTGTCATATGTCTACTTGTTCGTCTCCCTCAAAAGATGATCTTTGTCTCCATATCCTGGCCTAGTGCCTGACAGACAGTACCTGCTGAACAGATTTTGTTGAATGGATGAATAATAAATAGACCTTCTCTACTGAGGTGGTCAGAGGGTAAAGCAAGTTCCAACACCGATATTCTACTGGGCTTGGCTTGGGTCCTGACCAGAGGGCCTCTCAAAGTTAGAACACATTGACAGTCTCTGCCTCAGGGCATCTCCGCAGAACACACAGCATGCAACCCCTGGGTAGATCACCCTGCAGAACTAGCATCTCTTCAGCATAGTTTTCATTCCTGTGTCACCCTCCTCACCATTTGCTTCCTCCTCCTCTTGTTCTGAGCCTGAACTTGGAGAATGGAATCCCTCTTGAACATCAGTCTCAGCCAAATCTCGTCTGCTGTCGCCTTTGGCTTTCAACCGCTGAAGATGCAAAGCTCGCTCCCAGCCTCTTCCCATTCTCCATCCACATTCCTTTCCCACATGATCTCATCTAATGTAATGGCTCTAAATACCAAGTAAGTGTTGATGACTCCCAAACCTGTTACTCCAGCCTTACTGAGATCCAGACTTATATTTTAATTGTCACCTTCATGCCTCATTTTAGATATCTAACAGTTGTCTCAAACTTAACATGACCAAAACTGAGTTCCTCCCACAAATATATTCCTCATCTTAGCAGATGGATTCATGAATTCTCCCAGTGACCGCAGTCAAAAATTTGGGATCCATCCTTGATTCCTCTTATTTTTTTTTAAGATTTTTAATTTATTTTCTTGAGAGAGAGAGAGAGAGTGAGAGTACGTGCATGGGGGGAGGGGCAGAGGGAGAGGAGCAGAGGGAGAGGGAGAAGCAGACTCCCTGTTGAGCGGGGACCCTGAAGTGGGGCTCGATCCCAGGACCCTGGGATCATGACCTGAGCTGAAGTCAGAAGCTTAACTGACTAAGCCACCCAGGTGCCCCCTTAATTCCTCTTTTTCTCTCATCCCCCTATCAGGCAAATCCTACTGAATCTGCCTTCAAAATATGCCGGCATCTTATCACTGCTCATCACCCCCAGCGGTCCCACTTGGGAACAAGCTCGTGTCTGCCCTATGCATGGACTAATGCAGTAGCCTCTGACTGCTCTCCTCTATCCTGGCTCCTCCCCAATTCCATTCTCTAAGTCATAGCCCAGAGGATCTGTTTAAAAACATAGATTAGGTCATGCTACTCCCTTGTTTAAAACTCTCTAATGGCTTTCTATTATGTTAGGATAACATCCCAATTTCTTACCATGACCAACATGACTTTCTTGATTTTTGCCCTTCAAGTAAAAGTTGAAATTTCTACCAGGTACAAAGATTTAATGATAGGAGATTTCAAAGTGAACTTCCCGTTCACAATATTCAGGTTTTCAGAGAAAATGGGCATAAACCTGTTCCATAACTCCTGAAACCCTTTGATAAAATGAAAGCGTTAGAGAGTAGAAAAGAGAGGATTTTGTGAGGAATACATATTTGGAATAGCTATATAATGAAACCCAGTCCATCTTCCACCAAGGAGGACTTACCTTAAAGCTGGTGGTGCTCCAGACCTTCCATGGGGCCCCTTACAAAGCTTACTGTGATATTGCTTCAGTTGGGAGGTATAGTGAGCTAAGATCTTGCTCATGCTTGGGGTATTAAGATAATGAGAGACAAACAGACTAGTTAACTTTTGGGGCAGAGTCAGGAGAATGTGGCCATATTAGGACTGTGGTGGCAGAGCTAGGGCAACAGATGTAGGCCCCAAGGGAGAGAGCACGTGTGTGCAGGTGTCTTGAGGTTTGACCAACAGGACTGTCTGGTAGCGTGAGGAAATGCCAGCAGCAATAATTTGGTGGCAAATATCTAGGGGCTGAGGAAGGAGTCTCAAGGGATCACCCCAAATAGAGATGCTTTCTCCCCATCAAAGGGAATTGCAGGAGAGAGAGCCCAGTGGGAAACCTCCAGAGCCCCGAAATTTCTCCCATGAAGGAGCTTCACCATGCAACATCTGCCAGGCCTGGAAAGTACAAAGCTTTGGTGCTAGTCCAAGTGAGACCCTTCCTGCCCCTTTTCCATTCTCTACCTGCATTAACCAATCCCAGAGGAGTTGAAGGTGCAGCCATCTTGTTATTTTGTATTCCTATATTGGACAGAAAGGTCCACTTTCTGTTTTGAGGTTTTTTTGTGGCTTAAAGTGATCTTGGAACAATCTATTTGATAAGAGTGAATAGTCATGTGGCCCGCTAGAGTCCTTATTCTCTGTTAGGAGAAGGCCTCACTTGGTAAAATTAGAAGAAATGATGGATAAAAATGAATGAAATTATGACTTGATAATACTATGAGTTCAGCCAGCTGTATATGGCAAAGGCTCTACTTGCTTGGGCCCCTTAGCCCGTGTCCCTGAGAATGCCTTCCCCAGCCTACAGGTCTGAAGGAGCAACTTTTCCCTCTCCAGCTATTCTCTGGCAATCTTACTTGCCTGTTTTCTTCACAGCATCGATTACTACATGAAAGCGTCTTGTTCGCGTGTGTTCTTATTGGCAGTTACCTTCCCATCGGACTACAAGTTCTCTAGAAGTAGGAATCCCACCTCTTTGGTTCACTGCTCTATGCCCAGTGACTCGATGAGGTACTCTGTGTATATAAGTGCTCAATAAATATTTGTTGAGTGAATGCATAAAAACTGTATGAGCAACATAGATCTGAGAGCGGGAGAAATGCATATTCACCCAACTTCAGTGAGATCTCTCTTTCTATTGTGGATTTTTCATTTTAATATAATTCTACATTGATACTGTGGTAGTGACAACTGTTTTTACATTATTTGTATAACGATTTTTCTTCCATCACAAGGTCACAATCCCAAAAGAAACACATAAAAAAAAGTTCCAAACAAATGTGGAGAAGGGACACATTTGAAGAATTAAATAGAAAACATTTGACTACAGATCAACTTGACTATATTTTCTTTCAAGAAAATATTTTTGCTTTTTAACGTGGTCTCATAGGGATTTAGTGTTGGTGTTGGAGGTCAGGACAGCACACACAGCTGGCAGGCTATGGTATCTCAGTGTGGCACATAGACTCTGAGATGGTTCTCCATGACCTCCAACTTTGGTATCTGCACCTTTTTGTAAGCCCTGCCCTTTGAGTGTCCCTGCAGCCCGTGACTTGCTTCTAGCCAATAGAATGTGGCAAAGGTGATGAGATGTTACTTCTGTGATTATACTGTGCTATTTAAGAGTCCATTTTGCTAGCCAGCTCAGTCTAGAGACTGTCTTTGCTGGCTTGATGAAGTAAGGTGCCATGTGGAAACGGCCCACTTGGCAAAGACTGCCTGTGGCCCCCCGGGATCTGAGGCAGCCTTCAGCCAACATGCAGCAAGAAGCAGATGGCCCTCGGTCCCACAACCACTAGGAAATGAGTTCTGTCGCTGGAACATAAAACCAGTTTAAGCCATTATCATTCATTTATACCTCAGGGTCCGTGAAGGATTTAAGAAGAGGTTTGGTAGAAGTGTGGACCAAGGCTTCTGACCTTGAAGGGGATGACTGCTCATAGGTGAGGGTGGATGCATAACAGGGAAGCCCAGCTGGAGACAGACTTGTCTGTCATCGCTGTTTCGCTTAGCTCTTGGCCATATGAGTGTCTCCATATACTTGTTGCCTATACACTTGATGTCTTAAGAATGATCTGATGGGGAGATGTATGTTTATAGGGCCCAAAGGGGAAATAAAAAGGATGGCACCCAGTCACAGAGACACTGTGAAAAACCCTCTTCATTGATGCTAATGATGGTAGCATGCAGGCAAAACCAGAGAAGGCGAATCAGGGGCAGTGGGTAGGCCTAGTGGTAACTGAATCCACGGGAAATGTGCATCCTCACTGAGCTGAGCTCACCTTTCCCCAGTAGCCTGAGCATCTGCCTTCTAAGTGGACTGTGATTCAGATGTAGAGCCCGAGCAGTCTTCTCATACCCCCCAGGACCGATCAAAAGAGGGACGGTGGGTGGGGGAAGGGAGGAGGCCGGGGAGCAAGACGCAAGGGTCGGAGAGGGGCCGGAGGGGCCGGAATGCAGCCGGCACTCTCAGTCTTCTTCATGCTGCTCTCTGTCCTGCTGTGTCTCCTGGAAATCCTGGCCAACGGCTTCATTGTGCTGGTGCTGAGCAGAGAAAGGATGCGGCGTGGGAGGCTGCTTCCCTCTGACGTGATCCTCGTTAGCTTGGGTGCCTCCCGCTTCTGCCTGCAGTGGGTCGGAATGGTGAACGACTTCGACTACATCCTCCACCTGCACGAGTACAGCCAAGGACCTGGCCGGCAATTCACTGGTCTCCACTGGCACTTCCTGAACTCGGCCACCTTCTGGTTTGGCTCTTGGCTCAGTGTCCTCTTCTGCATGAAGATTGCCAACTTCACCCACCCCACCTGCCTCTGGCTGAAGTGGAGGTTGCCAGGGTCAGTGCCCTGGCTCCTCATGGCTTCTCTCCTGATCTCTTTCATTGTCACCCTGCTCTTCTTTTGGGGAAACCAGGCTGTGTATCAAGGATTCCTAATTAGAAAATTTCCTGGGAGCATGACCTTCAAGCCGTGGAGCCAGAGGCTGGAAATTCACTATTTCTTGCCCCTGAAACTTATCACCTTGTCAGTTCCCTGGCTCTGTCTTTCCGGTCTCAATTGCACTGTTGATTAATTCTCTGAGGCGACACACAGGGAGGATGCAGCGCAGCACCCACAGCCTGCAGGACCCCAGCGGCCAGGCTCACACCAGAGCTCTGAAGTCACTCATCCCCTTCCTCGTTCTTTATGCTCTGTCCTTTGCATCCCTGTCAGAGAGTGACTGGTACTGGCCATGGCAGATTTTAATCTACCTGTGCACATCCTACATCCTCATCCTCAGCCACCTCCAGCTTCGAGGGGTGTGCAGTCAGCTACTTCTGTTGGCCAGGGGCTTCCAGCTGGCCTAGGTGGCATGGTCCCACCCAGACCCCTGGAAGAGACTCAGAGGACAATGATGGAACCAATGCCCACTTACATGGAAATAGCTTCACAGGCAGCCATCCCTTGGACTCTACTCTGGGCTTCCTCCTTTGGGAAGGAGAGGAGGGAAGTCAAATCTGGGGATTCTCTGAATGAGATTCCTTCCTTGGGACATTGTTAAATGTCCTCAGAGAGCCAGTATTGTCCAGAAATTCAGAATATAAAGTTTTGTTTACTCTCTGTTTTGTATCGCCTTCATTATGTGGCAGCTTTCAGTTAAGAAGTCTTGATGAAAAGGTACATGTGATCTCAATAGCCTCCCAGGGAATGAAGAGCAAATGTGTCTATGGCTGAACTAGGGTGTGGTTGGGGAAGGAGCATCCCTCTTTTTTTTTTTTTTTTAAAGGTCTTATTTATTTATTTGACAGAGAGAGACACAGCGAGAGAGGGAACACAAGCAGGGGGAGTGGGAGAGGGAGAAGCAGGCTTCCCGCCGAGCGGGGAGCCCGATGCGGGGCTCGATCCCAGGACCCTGGGATCATGAGCTGAGCCGAAGGCAGACGCTTAACGACTAAGCCACCCAGGCGCCGCAGGAGCATCCCTCTTGAGGATAATGTAATGGTTGCCATGGGAGCCCCAGCGGATGGTAATTGTGGCTGACAGTGGTCAGGGCTGTGATGTCTAACAGCCCTCGCTTTTGTGGAGATTCTTTTTCCTTCGCCACCCTGGGAGAATTTGGTTTTAATTTTATGAAAACTACTGGAAGGTTTCTTTACAGCAACCCATTTCTTTTCTCATTATTATTTCATTGTTCTGCCTTCAGTTTTCTCCCCTCCGAGGTCTAAGTGGCAGCCAGACTTTTTCCATGTTTATTCTTCCTTTAGAATCACACATTGTAATTTTCCACGTTTTCAAATTGTCTCTGGAAATTCTTTGTTTTTCCTCGAGCAAGTCACGAAGTCACATGTGAATTGAATAAACATGTACTTTGAGTTCTGGAAAACGAAGACTCAAGAGTTTCATTTAGTTTGTGTCCAAAAACTATTTAACCTTTTTTTGTTTTTAAGAATCACCCTATTAAATCTTGTGTTTAAATGTTGTTTTGAAACAGCTTGCTCCATTTACTATACAAACAATTCTAGAAATGACTTTGGAAAAAATTCTAGTCAGAGTTGGGTGCCTCCAAGGCAGGCTTAAAAGTTTTTGCTCAGACACACCAGTGTGCACATTTCAGAGTCTAACTTGCAATCGGATGTCTGGTAGGCAGAAATTTTACTGTCCTCTGAGAGTTAAAGTAGTTCCCTACTGATTAGGGTATACGCTGCTGAGTGGAAGTACACTCATGAACTAAAATCTCTGTGCAGATTATTCCATATTTTTACTTTGAACACTTATTTTTTAATAGGTTACATCTGCATGGCTAAAAATTCAAAATGTACCCGAGAGTGTATATAAAAAATCGCTCTCATAACTTCCCCTTCTGAGGTATTCTCATCAGTTTTATGTCCGTCCTTCTAGAGATATTTCATTCGATAGCAGAAAGCCACTCATAGCTAACTACCAAACCAGTCACCTAACTTACTTATATATTCCACACAAGGAACTCACGAACCAACTGACTTACTGGCTTCTTTCTCCTTCTGTCCTTCTACGCAGATGGGTGCACAGTACGCATGCTCTTCCGCTCCTTGCTCTTTCTACTTAACATATCTTGGAGATCTACCTGCTGGGGGAACACTGCATTTCCTCACTTTTAGGTTCTCTGTTTTTTGTTTTGACATAGACGCACCACAATGTCTTTAATTGGTCGCCTGTTTGTGGTCATTTAGGTTGCTTCCTGTCTTTTGCTATTACGGCAATGTTGCAGTGTTGAATGAATCTTCTACATAAGTAATCTTGCACGTGTGCCAATTAACCGTAGGATAAATTCCATGAAATGTGATTACTGGGTCAAGTGGCATGTGCATTTCTAATTTTTTTGATTAACTTATTTAATTTAAATTCAGTTAGTTAGCGTGTAGTGTATCATTAGTTTCAGATGTAGAATTCAGTAATTCATCAGGTGCATATAACACCCAGTGCCCTCCTTAATGCCCATCTCCCAAGTTACCCCATCCTCCACCCTGCATTTCTGATTTTGACGGATATTGCCCTCTATAGGTTTGGATCAATTTACTTCCCCATCAGCAGTTTAGGAGTGCACTTATTTTCACACTTTCTTTTTTGCCAATCTGTTAGGTAAAAAATGGCCAATTAGTGTAGTTGTCATTTGCATGATTCCTATTTTGAGTAAGGTTTATTATTATTTTATATGATTAGAGCCATTTGTGTGTTTATTTTCTGTAGACAGTTATAGCTTTGCTTACTTTTAGACTTGGATTTTTGCTTTTCTCTTACTGCCTTGTAGGAGCTCTTTATATCTTAGAGAAATTAGCTCTTTGTTTTTGATACAAATGGCAAAACATTCTCCCGCCCTCAGTGTTTTTTATTTTATTTTTTAAATTTTTAATTGTTAGGTTAATCACCACGCATTACATCATTAGTTTTTATTTTAATTTTTCTTGATACCAATATTAATTTAATTTAATTTAATTTTTTAAAGATTTTATTTATTTGACAGAGAGAGATAGCGAGAGAGGGAACACAAGCAGGAGGAGAGGGAGAGGGAGAAGCAGGCTCCCTGCTGAGCAGGGAGCCTGATGCGGGGCTCGATCCCAGGACCCTGGGATCAGGACCTGAGCCGAAGGCAGACGCTTAACGACTGAGCCACCCAGGCGCCCCCCAATATTAATTTTAAAACCTTTCTTATTATGAAGTAATTATAGACTCACAGGAAGTTGTGAGAATCGTGCAGAGCCCTATGTGCCCTCAGTTAGCTCCCCCGATGGTAGTGTCTTACATAGCCGTAGGACCGCAGTGAGACTGGGAAACTGATACAGGTGTGTTACTGCTAAGAAGTCTACAGATCTTATTCAGTTTCCCCTATTCTTTCAAACCTGCATTCATGTGTGTGTGTGATTTGATGCAATTTTATCCCATGTACAGATTCATGTAGCCGCAGCTGAGGCATACAACTGTTCCATCACCACAAAAGAACTCCTACGTGTTACCCATTTGTATTGTACCTGCCTCCCACCTTACCCTCCGTGTGTTTTGATTTTTGCTTTTTACTTTTGTAACAATGGCTTTTGCCATGCAGATTTTTTTTTTTGCTGAATTTATTTATTTAAGTTTTGTTTTTTTTTAAGATTTTATTTATTTGTTAGAGAGAGAGAGAGAGAGAGAGAGAGAGCATGAGCAGGGGGAGGGGCAGAGGGAGAAGCAGGCTCCTGCTGAGCAAAGAGCTGGATGTGCACTCGATCCCAGGACCCTGAGATCATGACCCAAGCTGAAGGCAGACGCTTAACCAAGCGAGCCACCCACCCAGGTGTCCCTTGCTGAATTTATTTAAAACAATAATGACGGCTGGAATTTTGTCTCATAGTTTGAAGGTATTCCTCACTGTGATATCATTAAAAAAAACCTGCCTTTTGGTTTCTTCTAGTACTTTTATGCTTTCATTTTTATATTTAAGTACTTAACCCTTCTGGGATGTATTCTGATATAAGATATCCTATATGGATAAATTTTTTTCCCAAATGATCAGCTTGTTGCCTTAACACTTTTTATTGTACAATTTTTTTCTCCAGTGATTTAAAATACTACCTTTTATCATTACTAAATTCCTATACATATTGGTTTATTTCCAGACTTTCTCTTCTGTTTTGCTGACTTGATATAATCATGTGCCACTATCACAGCATTTTAGGTATTTTAGGTTTATGATGTTTGAATGACTGGTAAGCTAGTCTTTCTTCATTGATCTTCTTTTCTAACTTTCTTGGCTATTATTTTTCAAATAATAGTGTCTGGTCCCAAACAAAAATTCCTTTTTAGGAAAATTAAGTTGGATACTGCTAAGTGTATAATTCAACATAAGGAGACATACATATCCATGATGTTGAGTCTCTCTGTTCAAGATTATGGTATGCTTTTCCATTATTCAAGATTTCTTTTATTATTTTCAGTGGTGTTTTAATTTTTTAAAATACAGATCTTTTACATGATGTGATATGAATGCCTATGGGTAATTAACCCGTTATGCCTTAGTTTCCTGGCATATTCACTGAGGCAATAACAACTGTCTTGAAGTTCACTTAAGCAGCTTTTTAAAAAATTTTTTTCATTTAAATTCTAGTTAGTTGACATACAGTGTAATACTAGTTTTGGGTGCACAATGTAGTGATTCAACGCTTCCCTACATTCTCTGGTGCTCATCATGGCAAGTGCCCTCCTTAATCCCCACCACCTGTTTCCCCCACCCTCCCCCCACTTCCCTTCTGGTAATCATCTGTTTATTCTCTGTAATTAAGAGTCTGTTTCTTGGCTTGTCTCTCTCTCTCTTTTTCACTTTGTTCATTAGAAACAATTTTTTTTTTCAAGCCCCAATGCAGGGCTTGAACTCATGACCCTGAGATCGAAAGCTGAGCTGAAATCAAGAGTCCGACGTTTAACCAACTGAGCCACCCAGGCGCCCCTGTTCATCTGTTTTGTTTCTTAAATTCCACATAGGCGTGAAATCATATGGTATTTGTCTTTCTCTGACTGACTTATTTTGCTTAGCACATAACAGCTTTTGACATTAGCTAAGGGAGACAAAAAAAGAGCTAAGAGTTGTGTTTTTCCTTTGAAGATATAAGGGGTAAAGGAGAAAGCCGGAAGAGGAATAGTAAGAGTTACTAAACATTATCTAGCCGTTAGCTTTAAACTGCGTTCCATATTACGTGTTGTGATGTCGCCATATTGAGCTGTTTTATTGAGAAAAGAAATGAAAAGACTGAGAAAATGTATTGGAGATTAAACCAGCAGGAAATCAGATTGATTGGTGGACTTTGGATCATGTGCTAGGCATTCCACAGCCCTCTTCTGGTGGCATTTCCTAATGGCA